CCCAATAGACGCAGATAGTCAGAATCCTACCTATTAGGGTAATAGTTAAAATCCTAGGAAATAGTTAAAACGATTTCTAGGAAATAGTTAAAAAAAGGGGGTTGGAAATAGTTAGAATTCTGGCCCGAAAATGGGTTAACTATTTCCTAGAATTTTAACTATTTTCTGAAAAACAAGTTTTAACTATTTCCTAGAATTATATATAATTCTAGGAAATAGTTAGAACATGTTGGCCGGGAGTGCGCCGAAGTTTGATCGAAATTTCGATCAAACTTCGGCGCACTCGTGTCGAAGTTTGGGGCCGGTTCACGACGAAGTTTGGTCGAAGTTTGTGGTGGTATTTTGGTGACCTTATATTTGGATGAGGAAAAAAAGGTGTACTTCTTCAGACCTTTCTGGATGCATATAAGACCAGAACATATGAGAAGGTATAGTTCTTCAGTTCTCTGTGCATGTATGAGATCTTAACAGGTGAAAAGGTACTTTTCTTCAGATCTTTCTGGATGCATATAAGATCAGAAGTGGGAAGGTATAGTTCTTCAGGTCTTTGTGCATGTATGAGATCTTAACAGGTGAAAAGGTACTTTTCTTCAGATCTTTCTGGATGCATATAAGATTAGAAGTGGGAAGGTATAGTTCTTCAGTTCTTTGTGCATGTATGAGATCTTATAACAGGTGAAAAGGTACTTCTTCAGATGTTTCTGGATGCATAGAAACCTCAACAGGGACAAATGAACTTATGTTTTCAATATTTTTCGGATGCATCTAAACATAGTTTCTCAGATCCATGTAACTGCAATGCAACATCTCATTCTGGATGCATCGGGTTCTGAGGCAAGCACAAAATCACACGGTGCTCAACATGTCGCTGGTGCCATGCTGTAATCACAGACACACACACGTTTGAAGGCAGGCAGACAACACACAGATTTGTACGTGTATGCACATATATTCCTGTGAGCACTAAACCCCGAAACCCTAAACCCCAAAATGCACTCTAGAAGGTCATGTCTTATAGACTTCTCTCATGGTAAATCCCTGGGCCCTAAACCCTAAAATGCACTCCAAATCGACATGTCTCTCGAGGTACACTAGATTTACACTTCTCTCACGGTCTCATGTCTCTCAAAAGGTATTTTGTGTCACAGGCATCACGGGAGGTCGAGGCACCTGCAGCAGAAGAAGGAGTCAACCCTTGAAACTTCTCGAGTTGCCTAGCTTTGCAGAAGAAAGATCTCTTTTCTCACAACTCCACGAATCGCAGGTGCAAGGCGATCCGATACTTTCGACAAATCTTCTTCATCACCTGCCCAGCTTGCACTCCTCGGACACAGCTCTGGGCCAGCTCTTGCCCCTTTTGCATCATGTCCTCGCCGCTAAAGCACCAGGTGGTTCCTTACATAGATTGGGGTGGGGGTGTTGTGTTGAAGTTTTAGTTATGTTAGAGAATCTATACAGTTT